GGCAATGTCACTGCCGCTTCCATATTCAACAATAATGTGTGAAAAAATCGGTCTTTCTTATACGGCGAAGTAAAGTCAGTTTTAACACAACGAATAGGGTTGGGAACACTGTTGCACGGAAAGAGCTTTCCGCCATGTTTCCTTATCGAACAAGTAGTAACAGAAATTTTCTTTTTCTCAGAAACAAATAAGGCTACGGTTTTGTTGGAATAATTGCATATCAAAATCAATAAAAGAGAGCTTGAACGCTGAAGACAGAATTGGATCAGCAAATAAGTGCAAGAATTGATTGGAAATGTCCTAATAAAAACCCTTCATCGTATCTCTGTTAATTAGATTAAACTGATACGAAAAATTGTTACAATCAATGGAATTCTTTAGTACACACGTAGTCAATTGAATTTATTATCTCTCAAGGCCACATCGAAGAATGTGTTTGCTGGAGAAGGTGAGGTCAGTGCAAATGGCATAACAAGACTATACGATAAAGCAAGATTATTCTCTTGACGATAGGTGAAAGAGGATTTTGCTCAGATTCTTCAGCATCCACGCTCCGTAAGAAGCGAAAAGAGGCTTAACACTGTCTCCTACCAGTGTATTTAAGGGAGGTCGGACGCCGAAGTAAACGCTAGATAGGTGTTGATCTAAGCAAGATTGGATATTAGATTGGATTTAGCAGTCTCTTTAAGCAGTTTGCAATTCATGCTATTCAAGGACTTGCGTGGGGTTTCAAAATGGTTGCTTGAAAACTGAATTCAAGCTATTTTATCAAAGCCTAGTGGTTAAGAGAGCTGACAGAATGATTCCGTAGTGTGGAAGGAGTGCTTCTGGGGCGCGAGAGGAACTATAATGTAGCGCGGGTGACAATAATAAAGCGAGAGAGGAATAATTATGTAGCGCGGGAGGATTGATTCTGTTGCGCGAGAGGAAAGAATTTGGTGCTACGGAATTTTATAACAAAATACGCAGTAACCTGCAAAGCTATATCAAAATACGGTCAAATCCTTGCTATCCAAATCCTAATCAGGTCGAGAAATCAAATCAATAAAACACTGTATTAAAAGGGACGATTGAATATCATAAATGGTCTTGTCAGAAATTTTCTGAAACAGTCTGCTTGTAACTGATGCACTTTGTTACACCATGCAAGGTTGCATCAATATTTGGAAACGAAGTTGGCGAATGAAAGATGACAGGCCTAGTCAAGATGGTAGCAAACTATAAAATCAATATCAGCTTATCGAATGAAAGCTGAAAGTGAAAGGCTCTTGTACAACCAGAATAACCAGAATGCTTTGCGACTACAGTTCAATAACCGGCCTAATACCGTACTGCATGAAAATGCAAAACACAGTCAATATCTCAATATAGTTGCCGCTAAGCATGCCGGTTGCGCAAGAGCCTCAAAGTTCAAGGACGGAAAACAAGCAAGGCTTTCACTCTATGATGAATATACCTCTGCAACTTAACTGCAGAAAACATAGCGATGTTGAAAAACAAATCTGCCAACTTCTATCAAAGGGAGTAGCAAATTAACAAGTCAATCAGCTTCAATAAGGTGGTTTCGATATGAATGAGAATTGGAAACGATAAGGGAGACTGATTGCGCCCGTTTTGCAACTGAGATATGAATGATTAGATCATGTGATTAATTTGACGAGTCCCCTCTTAGTTAAGTTCTTGCATACATACTTGGTCATTTTGAAGAACACCATATGCAAACCAACAACGGTAGAGCCTGCCAAATTTTGAAATAATGCAGCCAAAAACGGAGAGTAAGCAATTAATTAGTATTCTAAGTAATCATCAAGTAATTCCAAATTAATCACCACAATCAGTTTTGTGCTTGAAACAACATCTACATTGAGCTGGTAATGTGGACTGAAGACAAGGAAATTGATCAATTGATTTGCTTGTAAGGACAATAGTTAAGCACAGTGTCATATCTCGGTTCAGAAACGTTCGAATGAAACGCTTTACTTAAAGCAATAAATCTAAGAGCATTAAAATGGGTCGTTTGCAACAGTTATGGTTCCCCAAAAAACACGTCGAAAAGTGACACCTGGGCAAATCATCTGGACAAGCAACTTAAAACCGCTTTGCTTATAGCCATTAACCTCGTAAAAATTTGATAGGTAAATAGTACACGTTGAAATGGGTACGAAATTCCACTACAACAATTATGATGCAATTACGAGGGGGTTTCACTGACCAGGAGAATAGTAGGGCATTTCTTAGAAGAATAGCTCTTGGAATTTCTCTCGAAAACAACAAGCAGTCTAGGCCTCCTTTGCAACGTTGACAGAAATTTCGGGAATCATCAACCTCAACAGTCTTTCAGGTTCTGTTTAATTAACGTTATACACGGTAATTTCTTCCTGGCTATCCTTGTTATACCGAAAGGTTAAAACCATGCATGTCTCTCCCATTTGTGAAGTTTGCGCACAGGCTAAAAGGTTGATGGAAGTTTCAAAAAACATCACCAATCTTTCATGTTATGTGTTTAACCAATGAATTTGGAGAAAATAGCAATGTGTTGCCGAAAGTTTTCTTAATCTATTCTTGGCATACCAAAAAGTCGACAAAAGTTTCAGAAATTATAACCAAACTCTCAGATGGTGTTTAAATAACTTTCTGCCTGTCGATATTAAACCAAAAGATTGAGGAGTAGCAAATATAAAGTAGAAATGTCGCTGAGAAATTGAGGGCAGATCATACAATTTTTAAAGAGAATTTTTCAAGGAATTTTGACTAAATAGCAATGTGTTGCCAAAAGTTCTCTTAATCCATTCTTGGCATACCAAAAAGTCGACACAAGTTTCAGAAATTGCAAGCAATCTCTCAGGTTGTGCTTAAATAACTTTCTACGCCAATATAGATCAGAAAATCACTGGGAAATGAAGGACAGGTAAGACAATTTTTGAAGAAGAAATTTAGTTGAATTTGTAAAAATATCGTAATGGTGGGTTTTATTACACGTTTGAGATTCAAACGACTCATCATCATATTGGAGGCATTTGTTCAACAAGTGGAAACATTCGTAAACATCAGAAGAAACCGTTGTTCAAAGAGGTTACGATATCTTCATCAAATTCGCAGCAATTTCTTTGTTATATTTGTCCAAGTTGATTATATATTTGTCAAGTTTTATTGCAAAAATGTATGGAAGCCATTTTAATAAAGGAAGAGAACCTACCCGCACGTTGCTGAGTTCTTGACCATATATGTGCTCAAACACGTGGATATACTACAGTTCATTGCAGATTTTTGGCCTTTATCGTACATGGTCGACCTCTCTGAATATAGCGATTATCACCTATGGCAATTAGCCTTCTAGCAAATTCATCCAGTGTAGTTTAGAAGAATCAGACCGACATACCTTGAATCAAGCAGTATTTGTTTGCTCCTTGTTTAAATGCTCTTTGCTAAATGAAACTTAGCATCGTCAAGCGCAGCATCAAAAGTTTGCCGAGTTGACGGTAGTGGCGGTTGGGGATAGTCCAATTGTCTTTAATTTTGTTGAATAAACGGTTTGGACAGCGTTGCAACTTTCACATTGTAGAACGTAGAAGTATATGTAAAAGAAGTTTATAAGAGAAATGGTTGACTTGAATAAGCATCTGTGTTGGTATTACTCGACGTAAGTGACACTGGAAACTATCAATGCCGTTTGCAATCAGACAACACGGGGGATCATGTTCAGTGTTTAATGTTGATTTAACGATTGGCGGTAAGCGCAGCAACTACAAAGTTTCACTGGAGACTTGATGTACTGGAATAAAGCACTTTGAATAAGAATTCAAATTAACTTAAACAAGGAATATAAGAAGTAAGCATACAGATTTAAGCAAGAAGGTAAATGCCGTTACTTATGTCATCAAAATAAAAAAGACGAAAGCTAAGATTCAATTTCGCCTTAGTCATCGGAGAAGGGTCAGAGTTATTTTCAACTTGCATTTTTTTTAGGAATATGCTTTAATTTCACTGTTAGGCAGCCTTTTAGCAGTATTTCTAAATAGTCATCCATCCACAGAAACTGTCAATTTCGGCTTCGTCGGGATGCCACCCCAACAACAACGTGTAGGGAAACGTGTCTTCCCAATCTTTTTAGCTTCGTTTCTTAGTTTACCTATTAAAATTCACATTTTGTTCACAGTATTACCATTTTGTCTTGGAATTGCCTTTGTGTCAACGAAAGGATACAATTTCTTTTTATTTTAGCCTATATCAAAATTTTTGACAAGGAAGAAAAATCTTCGCAAATACGGTAATATTTTTACATTATTTCCAAGGGGCATGCTGAACGTTCTTCTGTTTTGTCAATAGTGAAATATAAAAACACAAATGATTCTGATTATATTGGTTAAATTGATTTGTAAAATTTGGCAAAGGTTGACAAGAATTGTGTTAAACGGAAGCAAAAACATACCAATTGCAAGAGGAAGGGGAAAAGCAGAACCTGGACCATGAAATACCTTGGCAATCGCGTCTCTTCGGTCGAGTATCGATGAGAATCCAGAGACGTGTTGGTCTAATCGGGTTTGATGGCTTTACCGCTATGTTGAAAAGGGCGTCATTTAGGCCAAAAAGCTATTTATACTTATGTTTAGATAGTTTCATTGATAGATATAAGTTTCATATCAAGGCTACAACTCAAGGATTATGTTAGCATGTTTTTCTGAAGTCACTGGGGCGATATGCTCTTGCTACGGCAAGAATACGACGTAGAACTTAAGACGAGATGGAAATATGTGAGGGGGTGGAAAGCGTTTACAGTAATCACGACTAGTAGCTTTGTGCGAATGCAATAAGGCACCTCGCAATAACCAAGGGTCCTAGGATTAAGGCCAGGGTTAGGATTAGAATAATGTTACCAAACTATATACCAATCCAATCGTTTACTGAATATTGCCAGCTTTGATCGTGGACTGGAATGGTATGCTCAGTTAGGCCAAGAGGTAAATCAAGCTACCTAAAAATATTATCCTCAAATATCTTACATTGACATGATCTCATGTAGTCCTCCTGCAATTGTATTGGCACACCCAACATTCTAATATCATCGACTTCGTGCCAAACGTTAAGTACGTTAGAAGACATTTGCTGCGCACCCTGGTCCTACCACGCTTAATCACTCCTCAGCTTTGATCCTGCCCAGCAACGCACACCCTTTCTTATTGGTACCCTTGCGATCTATCATTTGGAAGCCGTTTCCTCTACTCAGGAGCGCAACGGAAACGTAAATGGTCGTGGGTTAACGAGGTTCAGGTTAGAAAGTAGGCTGGATATCTACATCAGCTGGAAAGCCTCAATATTAAAAAGCTACATTAAAAACACTCTTTAATTTTACAGAATTGTAGTAGGTTGTGTCAAATAACGCTCCTTGAATGAATCTTGGAAAACTTCTTTTGAATATCAAGTTTGAAAAAGCTTTCGAAATTTCCAATAAAATTGTTATAAAACAATCGTAGTGGTGGGTTTCCATTATGAGACATGAAAAAAATAGGCTGCATGTAATGCTATGAAATGAACCAACACGGCCTAAAAAATATCTTAAAAGACAAGAACCGTAAAAATCGGTTACGCTCAGCATTAACAAAGGGGATCACATCCCTTGACTGGGCTATACTTGAATATTGATTGTAAATAAAAAAGATGCTTGTTGAATAGCTTTGTAAGAAGAGGCTAAATCCATTCTTGGTTAGAGGATGACGTCATCGAATGTGCATCTTGTTCTCGACATACCTTCGTCAAAAATGGACCTCAGATTTGAAATCGCCATGTTGAATCAACGAGATACTCAACATACGAATCAACGAGATACTCGACATACAGGGGCGGATGCAGAAAAAAATCTGACATTCGCAAAGTTTCGACCACGCCTATATGACCACGCCCAAAAAAATCAGTCAAATTTTACTATAGTCTCAGAATCGAAGTTTTCCACTTAAAGATGTATTTTTCCTCATATTAAGTTTTAGGATTAGGAAACTAACAACACATTTTTTAAACAGCATAGGTTAAATAAAAATATTGAGGCCCAAAGATTAAGAAATTTAAGGATAAATATTAAAATCACAGCCAGGTCTGGATTTCATTGACGATTTGGCATTTTACTTATTGAGTGAACAAGAAAAGAGATTTTGTTGTGATCAAGCTTTTGTTGTGTTGGCATGTTTTGTTTCCTACATGGCTTTTGTGATGGAAAAACAACAGCAAAGATTTGAAATGTCCTCTTAATGATGATTTAATGGCAAGTCTAGGCACAGAATCACAAATTGTCAAGAACAAAGAGGATGAGCTAAAATAAGGGTATATTAGGTGTATCACCCCTTCTCAGGGAGAAAAACTCATGAAAAACATTTTTGTCACTCACTTAAAAAATAGCCATTTAAAGAAAGGAATCTTAGTTCTATTTATACAATGATATTATTTAACAGTCAAATACTGTGTTTAGTGTAGAAATTTTCAATGCAATATCCACCCAAATGTTTGACTTCAACACCAAATACTTTAGGGGCTCAGAGCTTTTCTGTTATTTATTTTGTGCATTCGCCTTTCTATCTAAACTGCTGTGTGATGTGCCTTAAACAGGGCCAAAAATACAAGTTAGGTCAATAGACATCATACAATTTTAGTATTTTTAGGTGTTGGTAAAACTGCAAAAATGTAACAGAATTTAAAACAATTCATTGTCTTTCCATAACAACAACATCATAAATATATTATATACAAATTTAAAATGTACATCAAACAAAGTCAGTAATGGCAAAGAAATAAGGCAAACTTGGTAACTTTTACTATATGGATTTATATAAGATATTTACTTGGCAGAACCAACTTGCTGTGAATTTCTTATTAATAATGTAGTAATTCCCCCATTAGGATCATTCCATTGACTGCACATATTTACACATATTTACATTTATTTACACACACAATTACATAGAAAAGAAAACTGTCAGTCACTTGCAAATTCATAAACAAAAATTAATGAATCTTAAGGGTATTTCAGAACCAAGAGTTTCAAATGGTATACTCTTATAGTGTGGAAACCACAAATAATTTTACTAGTTTTAGAGGTTAAACTCGCGAAAAGGGTTACCATATTTATGGCATGACCAGACAAATAAAATCAAAATACTATTACAATTTCTCATTTACAAATATGGCAGTCTAGATTTTTCCAAAACTGACAGCATAAAATTAACAAGAAAAGAATACGCCGTAGAAAATGCAATATCTTATTCAAAAACAAATCCCCAGCACAGTCAAACTATTCACAGGTTTGTGATAATAACAACATCTATCAATAAAAAATATCTAGAACTCTAAAATTCAGCATATTCAAATTCATCAAGATATTTATAGAACAGCATCATTCGTCAGAATGCTAACCCTAAAAGTTCTGATTGACAGCCTGCATAAAAATGGCTATTTACCTTAAAAAGCATCACGTATTCTTCAAAATATTATTTGAGTCTGAATCTCTGTCTAAATAACGTCCTCCATCATAAAAATGAAAACATAGGCAAAATTTTGGATCAACAATTTTAGGTCCAACTGAACTGTCCTCGCATATTGCCATCTATCAAATTCCATCCATCAACCAAAATATTCGACAAACTTTGAACATCTTCATAAGAAATCCGCTGATTCAAATTAAAAATCATCTTATATTTGACTCCTTTCACTCCCTCTGAAGTACAATTGCTGCTCTTCTGCAAGCAAATATCTCCACAGCTTTCCAACAACAATCATGGCCGTTGATCTGGAAGCGAGGTTTCAATCTGCTCACTTTCCAAGGTTCTCTCCCTCGACTGGCTACCGAACATAGTTCGCATCTACCTTCGCCACATTCGCAAAAAAATTTCCCATATACATTTCCTATTGGTTTTCAGATGGCTAAATAACATAGCTGGACTGACATTCGCACAAATTTTTGGCATACATTTTTCAGTACTACTTCGTTTGCGCACGCATGCCTAATAAATTATAATTCCATTCGACATTCGCATCAAACCTTATTGGTGCTCTGTGAATTTATGCGTAAAAGGGGGAGCCCTCTTTCGAATATATCATCTCTAAATCACGAAAACGAGGGAATAAAACCTATAAAGTAAACAACAAGGTGACATCATAGCAACTAGGGCAGGAAACAAAACTTTTATTTCTTGTATTCTATGGACCTTTTTTTATTATCTGGCCATTTCTAGTACAATATTCACAATGCTAAAATGTATTAACAGACAATTACAAAAAGACATGTGGAAATCTGACATTCGCCAGTGCGAATGTTGCGAATGTCTGGATCCGCCCCTGTCGACATACCTTCGCCATGACGAAGGTATGTCGAGAACAAGATGCACAATCGATGGCGTCATCCTCTAACCAAGAATTGACTTAGCCTGTTCTTACAAAGTTATTCAACAAGCATATGAATTCAGTCTACCCTAAAAACATTATGTTGTTTGGACTGTCTGTTTGGGCAAGATTTAGTTCGTTTTGAATATAAAGAAATTTCTAAAAATCTGAACAGGAAATTGCTGATGCAGTAAAATGTTTTACTGCAGGAGCGAATTCCTGTAAAATTTATGTAAAAAACATAACTTTGAATTACGGCGTAATTTGGCCTGACTATCCAAAAAAGCATGAAGATCCCAAATATATGACAAAAAGTGAAGGAGCTACAACCCTCCGCCGTGCATAAAAAGAATTGACGGCACAATCTCAAACTGAAAAAAGCCAGTTTATAATGATATCAGACTGACGTCAGCTTAATATACCTTTTTTTCTCATAAATTTATGCCGCAGAAGGTACTGTATTTTTCAAAAGCTTTCACAAGTAAGAAAGCGATGACGTCATAAATCTATTTTCGAAATTATTTTGATTTGGACAGTAAAATAAAAATGAAGCCAGTCAGATTTAGCTATTTCAGATTTTCTACGATAATTATGTCCTTCGCTGACCGTATCTCGACACCTTTGCAGCAAATTTAGCTGAGTTTCCACGTATAGAGATATCTTGTGATGTTCTTTTCGGTTATAAAGATTAAAATCCAAAAAATTAAAAAAAAAATCATTTCGTCATCATTTTACTTCTTTACTTGACAAATAGGTGAATGTTATAACCTGATAAATGCTGTTAATGCTAATGAAATCAACGAATATGATAAAAAGCAGCTGTTTGAGAACAGTATATGTTTCACATACACATTTGTTTGATTTGCTTTTGATTCCAGTTGTTGCCCTGTCTTGCCAGTAGACCTGGCCGAATTGCACGTAATTTGCGTCTTTCATACCACTAATGGGTTTAGCTCTAGATGCGTATAGGAAAACAAAGAACAGGTATAGTGTTGCAAGAAAGACAATAATTTAGTTCTGGGTCTTTGTTTGCGTCACCCAAGTATGCGCGCTACGTGTAGTCAAGTACGGACGACATATTGGATAGTAGCCTCAATTATAAGATTGTCAAATAATCACGTCATAGCAATCTATATTGAGAATTGAGGATTGAGGAATTTTAACCACACAAGAAAAAGAAGGGCATCATAAAGTACATAAAGATGTTTAGTATTGATGGAAAGTTGGGTTTTATTTAGAGGGGGAGGGAGGCCCAGACCTTAAATTTTCAGAAAAGTAGACTGACTCAATAGGATATCATGTCAATTGGAAATAAAAATTGGAGGAGCCTCGGCGAACTCCGATTAGAGTTCTACGAGCCTCCTCGTAGCATCGAGCGGGTTGAATCATGTGACCGAAAGATATCTCCTAAGGTTGCTTGAAAGTTATGGGATTGCACTTGGGCCCCACTTTCAAGGTTCAAATGATAAAAGTTAGAATTTAAAAAAGGGGCATGGTTCTGTTTCTTGAAAATTGTCAAGGACATCATTCTAGTTTTTGACAACAGAGAAAGGGGAACTTCGTTTTGTTGTCTTTGAAAACAGAGAGAGGGAAAATGAAAAAAGGAAGAGAAATTTCCAGCCTGATTTTGGGAAAATGAATATCTTCCTAACTTCTAGTTTTATACTCTACGATCTGCGACCTTTTAGTGAATGTTTTGTGTAGATCTTGCCCAATCCTTGACATCATGACTCCCTTGTCAATGGACAACAAAGACGTAAAAGTAAGGCATGTCCAAGCTCATCCATCCTTTGCTTCCAGATATCCTTTGTTTCGCGACCTTTGATTTTTGCTGCTGATTGGCTTATTTTCAACTTATGTTCTGCTTTGGGTATCTAATTTCTGATTCTTCACATTTTATCAAGTCGGTAGCTGTTCATGCAGTCGAGTTCACGCAAACCTAACATCAAAGACGAAACATCTTTCATGTGTTCTTTCGACATTGGTAGCCTTTTCACAAATGTTCCTCTGAGTGAGACCATCAAAATATGTACCGATGCTTTGTACCGGAGCAAGCTTAACGCCATTTTCAGAGGAAGTTTTCATCGAGCTGATGGTTCAGTTGAATTCAGCCTTAACAATAAAATGTACCAACAAAGGGATGGTGTCGCTATGGGTAGCCCTCTGGGACCTGCCTTGGCCAATATCTTTGTTGGCTTTCATGAAGAGCGTTTGTTCGACTACGACCAGAAGTCTGGCGTCTATTTTCGATATGTGGACGACACATTCAATTTCCAAAAAAGAGGCTGATTTCGATATTTTTATAAAGCACCTTAAAAGCCTACACTCATATTATTCAATTATTTTTTTAAAATTTTGTCTTCCATTATTAGTTTTTATAGCTTATCATAACCTTTATTTAGGTTATGATAAGCTAAAATGATAAGATATAATAAGTTCTGATGGGATATCGTGTTGAAATAAGAATTTAATAATAAAAAAAAAATAACCCAGGCCCATTCCTTTCTAAAACTAAATGTTTTGGTCGAAAAGTCTAACATTAAAACTTTTACCAGTGTATATCGCAAGCCCATTTTTTAGGTCATCCAAATACGCTGAAATTCTCTTTGCCTTAAACAGAATTCTCTTTGCAAAGTCAACCTTGTCGAAACTTTTTTGCTCAGGGCACTTTTGATCTGATTGGTGTCCAAAAGCACAAAAGTGCCCAGTTTATCTTAAACTACCATGGGTTGGTAACACTTACTTGCTTTTTCAAGTCAGATAAACCAGGCCGTCACAAGATGTTTCTTTGCTATCAATTCTCGCATTATTTACAGCACTAGGAGAGCCCTTCCATCCGTTCAAAAGGATTGCGTTCATACCACCAAAAAGAGACCCAAAAAAGTTCTGTTGTTTATAAATCTACGTGCCAGTGTGATCACAACCCAAAGATTGGAGGATAGGATAAAACAGCATGTTCCTTCAAACATAAGAAACAAAACTGTCCCTTAAAGAGAAAAACCTCCTTGATCTTGTAGGTCTAAAAACACAGTAAAAACTAGCGACTCTGCCATCGGACAACACCTTTTAGACAACCCAGATTGTGCAAAATTCTATAATGACAACATGTATCAGACAATTGGTAGAACCCGATCTATTTTTCATCTAGCAGTTTTGGATTCGATCTACATGTGAACAAAAAACCCGCTATAGTGTGGACAGAAGGAGTTCGTTTTCTCTCTTGGACTCCAGTGGTATAGGTTTTCATATAAACTCTTTTCATATAGTTTTGTATGCCTACTTTTGTAGTATTTACCGTTTATGTATATGTTGTATTTTACTATGTATGTATTATTGTAATCTAGTTTATGTATATGTAGTATTATTAGTTATATCTATATACATGTCATATCCCAGGGGGCGGTCATGTTATATTGCTCCTCCTGGGTTGTCATCTGTCCTTTTAATGTAGTTTAGTAGTTCGTACGTACTGTTTTAGGTAATTTGTTGTGTAAATTTTTATACCGAATATATATATATATATAAAAAAAAAGTGGTATAGGCGTGCGGCACTGATTGGACAACTATGCTGGTCATGTGCTTGCGTTTTTAACGTTATGTATTATATGTCAAATTATATAGAAATATATATTACATATCCACAATTGGGTGTGTAATTTCAATATAATTCTCTCTGACCCTTATTCTGATGTTTCATATGTTAGATTTCTTTCAGTTTTCATAGAAACAAAAATGTCTCAATACACATCAATTGCTATCTTAAAGGGTATGTGTCGCGTTAGCAGTTGGCTAATAAAACAAAGGCGTTTGGAGTGGAATTCCATTGTTTCGTGACTTTTCATTTTTTCTTCTTGAATTTTTACGCTCAATTCCATGCGTTGTACTAAACAAGCAAGGTAATTGTGTTGCATTAGCCAATCATTTACACGTTACATGCCTTTTAATATGTCATTCAAATAAAACTTCACATTAGCACGAGGAACATGTTTTGTTCTTAAAGGTTTGAATCTGACATTTTTGCTAGGTCTTTTTCCATTGTTATTTATCTGCAGAAAGCATTGGCATGCCAACTGGCTTGTTTCAGCTGATTTTTCCCTAAAACCAGCCTTCCAAATACAGTTGAATCCTGATATAGTGCACCCCAGGTTTAACGAACTTCCCCCTGTAACGAACTTATGTCTGGTCCCTAGGACTAACAAACTCCTTACAAATTCTCTCGGTATAACGAACCCCGGGAGTTGGAGATAGCCTAAGCAAGACCATCAAAGGTATTTTAGGCGTGTACTACGAAAATACCTATAAAAAGTTTTTATACTGGTTTAACAAACTCCCGATATAACGAACTATTTTCATTCTGGCCGTTTTTCAAAGCTGTTGGCCGTCGAAAATTGATTTGGCCGAAAAAGCGAAAGTTGGCCGAATTTTGGCCGCATGTTGAAGGCCACAAAAATAAAAATAAAACTTTAGCACAGACAATTTTCAACATTTTGTTAAAATAATCTCAAAATTGCAAAAAACGAAGCAAGAAACAAAGTAGAAGATAACAGAAAATTGAAATTGAAAGCAAGTGGGAGCTTTTGTAACAAACAAAACCACTTTTGATTACACTTTTATTCCACGGAATTAGCGAAAGTGTAGCTTTTTTGTAGATTTTGTTTGGCTGGCTGAATTTGGCCTCCAAAAGTAATGTGTTTGGCCGAAAACCACTCCAAACATCTGGCAAACCTGTTTCTGGTTCCCTTCAGAGTCCGTTATATGGGAATTCCACTGTATCCTAAAGTTCTTATTTGAATCCTTCGTGAAGTCAATAAATGTATGAGTGCGTATTGGAAAACAAATGTGAATGAAAAAGGCCACTTGATATAGTCGAGCTCTGGAGAGGCGCATATTTCGATATGAAGATTTCTCTCTCTAGTCTCTTTCTTTCTGAACAAGCATTGTGCCCTCCCCACCCCCACCATTTTCAGTCACATTTTGCCCTCTCTGATAGAGTTGGTGCTCCCCCCCCCCCTAGCCAATTTTGAGCTACCACGTCAGTCATATGAATTGCTGCAATGGTTTGCACTTCTATGCACTGGAGATAAAAAAATTTATGATAGAGCCAAGCAGGCATTTCTTCAAATGTAAACGGGGAAAGATGACCCTGTTCTCTGAAACCACGCTTTTATATAGCTTGTTTGGTGTAAATATCTTGCTGTTTAACTTTTATACGTTAAAAGACGGTCAGATAAAACTCCAAACTTCTCTGATATGATTTTCAATGATTCTATCAATGTTCAAACTCGAGTTGTTGGTGTTTCTGCGGATTTTAAAGTTCAAATATCTTATAAGTTATAATTTTCAATAAAGAAGATACTGAAAGAATTTTTGATTATCATCTGTCAAGGTTTACGTACATATGAATCAGGTCTGCAAGTTTTCTCGCGAAAACTAAGATTTTTTCCTTTTTGGTCCAAATAAACTATATTCTTTTAGTTATGCCACGTCTTTACATAAACATCTCAGAGTTTAACTCCAGAGTTCAAGGGTACTTTAAAATTAAATGTAGGTCTCTTTAATAAGCTTTCTCAAAATTCAGCTTATTCGATTATTGCTATATTCAGCTATAAGCAGCTAAACTCCGACGAAAATAGCTATATATAATTGACGAAGTATGTAATCATAATCCTCTTCTTTTTTCAAATTCATCCTCTTTGAATATAATTGTAGAGTTATGAACCATAAGATCAAATGAACAAGAAGAAACTCCCATTGACCCTCCCCCCTTCCCCACATAACGCCGCCAAAAAAATTTTGTATCCATGCTAATTTCTTAGTTACTTTTCTTTTAGTCAATAACCATACACCTGGAATTTGAATAATACCAGAAAAAACCTAATTTGATTCATGGCTTTATTGCAAAAGCCTGTTAATAAAGTATAAGAAATATCGTTTGATGAGCCTGAGAAAGTAACAAGAGCGCGAAACAACACAATTGTTGCAAAAAGAATAATAATTTGGTACAGAAAGTATACCAGGAAAATTTTAGGAATTTTTATTATTTGATGCATTCAGAAAATTTTCTTTAGCTTTTGAAACAAGCTATAAAAATAAAAATCTTGCGAAACAGCAACAGCAATAAGTGAATTTGAAAGATAGAGAAATACATGTTTTATTTGAGATGAGACATTCAGGGATTTCTAAACGAAATTAGAGCACAAGAGATATGTATTGATTAATGACTAACATATATTTATCGCTGGCCAGAAGATCAAAGATATATTTTAATGATTGGCAAGAAATTGAAATACTCTGAACGTAGAGCAAATATTTTTTACTTTTTTTACACCAGATATCGTTTTCATGGGAATTTGTTATAAGAAGGCCGTGGAGAAATAAACTTGCAAGGCAGTTTAAAAAGCAAAATAAACAAAAATATAAACCTCGATTAAGAGGTTATAGATAAATATAAATATAAATAATATAATATATAAATAATGTAAATATAAATTAAATATAACATATATATATGTAAATTAAATATAATATATATATATTTATAAATATATATAAATATATATATAAACACAAAAATAGAAATAAAACCAGATTTATGAAATAGATAATTTTCTTTCTGGGAGAGCAGAAACCTAAAGACCACTGACTTTTTCCTCAAAGTTGAAAGAATCTTTCTTCACAACTATTCAAGGAAATGAAAATCGAACTAAGATGGGAAGGTCATTCACTTCTAAGAACAGAGCGGGCAAATTTTCCCAGCTTCTTACATTGTCTATAATACTATATGAATACGTTCTGTACAGTTGCCTGATTGTCGCAATACGCGGGAAGCAATGACTTGCAACTTAAGGCCATCCTGTTTTATACACAAAAGCAAGTAGAGGTCTCTCTGACACTCTTTGGCAAATCTCAACCATTTTAATAATCAAAATGTTTATATATACTATGAAAATTGCGAATACAGCTCTAGGCCTATACGCCAGGAAACACCATATAAAAGAACGGTTTATAGTTATTTTCATGAAATGGTGTTTTGGGTGCAAAATATTTAAGCAGAATGTTAATCATAAGAATATTCAGGCTCAGAATGATAAAATTTTTAAGGATATTGTGAGTATATTGCTTTTCATTTTCCAGCAGTTATCTGTTTTGCGATGTTTGTGACAGAAAATTGCATGACTGACGTATCCCTTTTTTTTCAAAAAGGGTAATTTCTATGCGAAAACGAGCGATATTCTCCTCAAACCATATCACATTTGAAAAAGTTAGAATATTTTAAGGATATGTTCAGGCTCGAAAATCTGTTTGGAATATCAAAGCTGGACAGAATTTACTGGGTTCTTATAAAAAAGTGTATCAATTAACTGGAGATTAAATGATACACTCTAAATGAAATATAGAACTAGTGAATAACTTGAAACTTAAACGGGGAATGTTAAATCTTGAAATAAATGCTCGACGATAAGTGGAATTCAGTACTGTTCACACTTCTTCTGATAACAACGCAAGACTTTTGCAATATACAAATAATCAAAATGTGTAAACAGTACTGATCGTATGCAACGCGTGAGGATAGCAAAAACATTCAAAAATATAAAAAAAATACAAAACAATAACCATTGATACATTATTCGTTTCTTGATTGGAAATATAACAATCACGAAAACGCAATTTTTCAGCAAGTATACACGCAGAGATTTTAGGCCGGACAACGCCAGGCAAGTTCTGAAAAGCCTTGCGGCCAAATCAACCAATGGTAATCAATTTTTATATGATTCTCAATAACTTCAACATTTAAGTCGCCGGCCTCTATAAAATCATGTAACGAGAAAACATATGGGGTTTTTAGCCGAGCATTTCCATTGTTTATGATGAATAAAAATTTAAACTTGAGAGAATTTATATAAATGTATCTATTCAAGAGCTAATGACACAACTATCGGTAAAGTCGAGGAAGGATTTTCAACAAAAGATTTGGAAATCAGAAGAGTCTGGGTTTTTAGGAGTGTGAAAAAAGACTTCAAAAAAGTTCCCGGCTTCAAAAAAGAAATTGAAGTCTTCTAAAAGCCGAACTAATATAATTTTGTTTGCTAAAAAACCTATTGTCTAAACAGCCTTTGATCGCTTGCAAGTGGAGGCCAACTATAACCACTCAAATCCTTTACGTGAGTAGTTAAACGACAGTTAAGGCCAGGGAAAGAAATGGTGTTGCTTTGAGAAGAGAATGTAAGAGACAAATTAAGCCACCCTCGTGCTTACAAAGCAATGACCGTATGAAATGGTTGTCTGATGGTCTTTAAAAGCTAGGAAATGACAGCAAGAAATCACCCGAATGCTGTCTGTTAACGGGATGAATCGGGACGTGTGTTGTATGTTTTCGTTCGAAACAGAGACACTAATTGATGTTGGGTCTTAAAGGCACTAAGGGTTCTTAGATTATAAATCAGGTTATTGTGAAACGCTATGAATTTGGTTACTAGGCTGAGTTTCTTTCTTTCAAGGTTTCCGTTTCACAACTAATTTCACTGTACTCTTTGTTCTTGTCTAAAAGTTTAGCTTGTGTTAATCAAATTATAAGATACATGTCCTGTTTAGTAGTCTTTCACACTTGGAAAACTCTCATCATTCATTTTTACTAAGTTCGTCAGTTCTTCTATAAGTTAGACTTTCAAATCCGCATCAAGGATCTTTGAGGTAAATACATAATAGGATATTGACGTATATATCTGATTTTAGTATCTCTTCAATGTTAGCAACAGAAGCTTTGTAATTCAGCTCTCCTTTAGCTCTTTTGCATACATCTTCCTTTTTAAGACATCAAGGAAACTTGTGAACTTTTGAAGAAATTTTTTAAATTTTTTCATGATTGGTTATCATTTAGACATAAACACGTGACATAAACAGAAATTGCAAAAATGGTCTCTGCTAATGATTAAAAAAAATTGTAGAGTCTGTCCGTGAAATGAAAATAAATGTTTTGACCAAACCGTTAAATTCACAAAGATATAACAAATCGTCGGTTTAGGTGCAATAAATAGGTACTATGACAATATAATAGATTTTCCAGACAGCAAACCAAAAAACCTAGAAGAGTACTAGAACCTGCAACTAACACACCACAGCATTGTTTTCGTCCTATATCGAAGTATTTGTTTTCTTATTCTAAACTAATGACATGCTTTAGTTAGTTATTGCTATCGAGTCCTCTATTTGTTAAAGTTGACAATTTATCATAATATTGAGTAACTGTAATTTCTTGTTTGGTATTTTGATAAACTCAACTTCAGTAGCAGAATAAAATGGTGGCATTTCTGTATAAAGAGGGGGAGAAGGAGGTTCTAAGTTATAAGAGATATCAATGGACGATACTAATTGGTAGATAGAGCATTGCAAGAGGATGGGTTAGAAAAGAAGATGCAGCAGTTATTCATTGCTCAGGAGAAAGAATATATGTATCTATTCACACACATCAGTTACAAATATTCCATGCATATGAATAGCTAAGATTCACGTATTGAATCTATGAAATAATGTTCCAATAGGTAACAAAAGCAATGGTATAGTACAGCATTGCATGCAAGCATAGCGTGCAACGAATTCTAACAGAATGAGAAAAGCGGGTAAAAAGGCATGCTAAATGCATTTAAATATCAATGAATGGCAGTGATGGCAAGAAAAGGTGCTCAGCAGATTAATAATGCTTCAGAGGTTAGCGATTTTATAAACTGTCCACTGGTAAATGAGTTGGCGGACGAGTTTGAAGTTGCATAATCAATAATCGGATGGAGATTTGAACTATTTATAAGAAATAATGCATTCTTGATATTGCCAAAGCAGTTGTAGAAGACTAACAGTTGAAAAATGATAAATCTACAGGCTAGCACATCAAATAGCGGGGGTTGATTGCAAAATACATCGTTACTATACAAGTATT